CTTATACATTGGAGGTCATAAGAGGCAGCAAGCTGGTGGAAGGGTAGAAGCAGAGCCTTGTATTAAAGCTACATTTTCAAAGCAAGGGCATCATGACTATATAGACTGGACAGGGAAAATGTGGCACATATACACCATGGAATATTATGCAGCCATCAAAAACGATGAGTTCGTGTCCTTTGTAGGGACATGGATGAACCTGGAAACCATCATTCTCAGCAAACTAACACAAGAGCAGAAAATCAAACACTGCATGTTCTCACTCATAGGCGGGTGTTGAACAATGAGAACACATGGACATAGGGCGGGGAGCACTACACACTGGGATCTGTTGGGGGTGAATAGGGGAGGGTCAGCGGGGGGTGGGGAGTTGGGGAGAGATAGCATGGGGAGAAATGTCAGATATAGGTGAAGGGGAGGAAGGCAGCAAATCACACTGCCATGTGTGTACCTATGCAACAATCTTGCATGTTCTTCACATGTACCCCAAAACCTAAAATGCAATAAAAATAATAATAATAACTTTTCCTAAAGATTTTTATTGACATACTGCTTTAGACTAAGGACATATTCAAAATTATTAGTACTGGTACACAGTCCCTTTTTAATTGGGGTAGATGGAATGGGAGATCAGGTAGGTTGTTGGAGCATTAAAACCCCGCATCCAAGCCCCACATGCACAGCAGGAGGGAGAACCCAGCGCTCTGAGTTCTCCCCTTTTCCCACCTCATGGCATATCCTAGGAAGGCTTGCACAACTCTGATTTCTCCTCCTCCTTCCCTTGTGGTATGTCCTAGGAGAAGCCTGTCATCAGCCTGACATCTCCCCGCTCCTCATCCTGTGGTATCTGCCAGGAGATAGCCGCGGCCGCCCCTGATTCTTTCCAAGAGGACCTTCAGTTTCTCTGAACGGTTATGAATGGACCCATAGACTACAGATCCAAAGACCCCTCCCCCAGTAAGCCCGCCCAGAGAAACGTCCCCACCCTTGCTTCCCGCCACCAGCGGGACAGCTCCACCTCCCTGCTCTGTGAGTTTAGAGGTGTCCTCATCCTCAATACGGAATGGACACTCCTCCAACATGGTGTACCCCATGGGGAAGCGCGACTTGGGCGCGGCCATGTTCCCCACCTGACCATGTCGCGGAGGGGCACTGAACATCCCAAAGCCTTCACTTCCGTAATTTCTCCATGTTAACTCCTGGCGAATAGCGGCTTCAAAGGTGGTTTTGCGCACGCGCAGACCCCCCTTTCCCTCACTCATGGGAAGTCCCAAACCCCGAAAAAGGGCGGTGCTAGGGGTAGTGACCGGAAGCGGCTGCGGTTCTCGCCGGTTCTCAGCCGGGGTTACATAGTTGTCAGGAGGATTCGACGTTCAGTGCCCAGGGATGTGGAGGTGATGGGGGACCGGGGTGGGTGAGTGCTAGGGGATTCTGTGTGATCAGTGATGGAATCGTTTGTCTAACTTGAGTTGGATGATTCGCTCATCATTTTTCAGGCTTTTCTCTTTTCTAATGTTACCCTTAAGGTCTTAAAGTTCATTCTAAGCCCCATTGGGTTTGGAGCATTATGTTTTTTAAGAGTGTTAACTCGTATTCATTTGTTTTTTACTGAGGAGTTATTCAAAAGTGGGGTTTCAGTGTGCAAAAGTTTATCTTTGTAATGGATCTGTAACCTTAGTTTTCTGTGTTAGAAAAACACCTACGTGGAGCTCATTCCTTGAAATACAAGGAGACTTACGGCCTAGTGCATTTTTAGAAACGTTCTGTATATAACTTGAAAATAGTATTTAATTATTTAGTCGTCAATTGTGTCATATAAAATCTGTCTTTTTTGTCTATTTCTTCTTTTACTTCAGGAGAGAGAAATTCTCCACTGTGATGGTAATTTGTCCGTGACTCCTTACTGCTGTCTGTGATCCACTGTGAGTTACTTTTTGTATAAAGTATGAGACTTAGGTCGAGGTGCATTAACTTGCTTATGGATGTCCAGACTCAAGCACCATTTGTTGAAAAGATTATCTTTCCTCCATTGACTTGTCTTTCACCGCTGTCAAAAATAAGTTGGCCATACTTACGTGCGGGCTTTTTCTGGGTTTGTGTTTCAGTTCCATTGTCTATGTGTCTGTCTCTCTGCCAGTACTACCATGCTGTCTTGAATTGGATAGAGTGATTCCTCGCACTTTATTCTTTTTCAAAAGTGTTTTAATGCCTCTGTTTCCTTTGCCTTTCCCATATACATTTTAGAAAATCTTGTCTCTATCTACAAAGCATCTTGCTTGGATTTTGATAGGAATTACATTAAACTTGTTTACCAAGTCGGGAAGAAGTTAAGTTTTAACTGTGCCAAATCTTCCAATCCATGTATATAATATGTCTCTCTGTTTATTTAAATCTTTTAAAATTTCTGTCAATGGTACATTGTAATTTTTATCATGCAAGTTCTGTACACATCTTATTTAAATTTATACCTAAGGGTTTAATTTTTTTGGAGTGGTCGTAAATGGTATTATCTTTTAAATTGCTGCTTATATATAGGAATACAATTGAGTTTTGTCTGTTGGTCTTGTATCCTGCAGTCTTGCTAAGCTCAGTTATTAGGTTTTACACCTTTTTTGATAGATTCCTTTGGTTTTCTCCATGAGCAATTGTGTCATATACAAACAGGGATAGTTTTATTTCTTTCTTTCCAATCTTTATACCTCTGCCTTTCTTCCTTTATTACACTGGCAAGAAGTTCCAGTACTATGTTGAATAAGAGTGGTGAAAGTGGACATCTTTGCATTGTTTTCAGTCTTAGGGGGAACATATTCAGCCTTTTACCATTAAGTATAATTTTAGCTGTAGGGCTTTCTTTTTTTGGACCCTCTTTTTTATTTGAGGAAGTTCCCCTCTATTCCTAATTTGCCAGTAGTTTTTATCATGAATGGGTGTTGAATTTCATCAACATCATATGAATCTTTATGATCTTGTGATTTTTTTTTTCTTTTTTAGCTTGCCAGTATGGAGGGTTACACTGATTGATTTTTGAATATTGAACTAGCCTTACATTCCTGAAATAAACCCTACTTGGTTGTAATATATAATTCTTCGGATATATTGCAGGAATTGATTAGCTAATGCTTTTTTTTTTTTTTTTTTTTTAGCATTTTTGCATCTAAGTTCATGGGAAATATTAGTCTATAGTTTTCTTTTTTATACTATCTTCATCTGGTTTTATTTTGTATTTTTTGAGGCAGAATCTCACTCTGTTGCTCAGGCTGGAGTGCAATGGTGTGATCACAGCTCACTGCCAGGCTCAAGTGATCCTTACACCTCAGCCTCCTGAGTAGCTGGGACTGCAGGCACACACCACTACACCCAGCTAATTTTATTATTTTTTGTAAACAGGGTCACACTATGTTGCCCAGGCTGGTCTCAATCTCTTGGGCTCAAGCAGTCCTCCTGCCTCAGCCTCCCAAAGTGCTGAGATTACAGGTGTTAGCCACTGCTCTTGGCCTTGTTTGGCTTTAGTTTTAGGGTAACACTGGCCTCACTGGATGAGTTGGGGACTATTTTCTCCTCTTCTACTTTTTTTTTTTTTTTTTTTTGAGACGGAGTCTCGCTCTGTCACCAGGCTGGAGTGTGGTGGTGCAGTCTCAGCTCACTGCAACCTCTCCTCCCAGGCTCAAGTGATTCTCCTGTTTCAGCCTCCCGAGTAGCTGGGACTACAGGTGCACACCACCACGCCCAGCTAATTTTTGTATTTTTCGTATAGACGGGGTTTTACCAGTTGGCCAGTATGGTCTCTATCTCTTTACCTCGTGATCCACCCTACTTGACCTCCCAAAGTGCTGGGATTACAGGCGTGAGCCACTGTACCTGGCCTTCTCTTCTGTTTTCTGGAAGAGATTGTATAGAATAAGTACTGATTTTTATTTAAATGCTTAAATGTTTGGTAGACTTCTCCATTGAAGCCATCTGGGCCTGAAAACTTTCGTTTGGAAGCTTTTTGATCATGGCTTCAATATCTGTAATAGTTATGTAACTATTCAGATGATCTATTTAATACCATTTTAGACTCTTATATATATTATATATATTTAGACTAGTAATTTTATTGTTATAATAGTAATAAAATTTATTATTTAGTAATAATAGTAATAAAATTTATTATTTAGTAATAATACTTAGTAATAAAATTAATTATTTAGTAATAATATTCTATTGTATATATGGCAAATTTTGTTTATCCATCAGTTAATGGACATATGGATTATTTCCACTTTTTGGCTATTATGAATAATGCTGGTGTGAATATTTGTGTATAAGTTTTGGAATGGACGTATGTTTTCATTTCTCTTGCATGGACATGGTCTCCTAATCAAATGGAAGATTTGGGTTTTGATTTGTATTTTCCTAATGACTAATGTTGATGATAATTATGTTATTCCTAATCTACACACACACACACACACACACACGCGCGCGCGTGCACGTGCGCACACTCTCTCTCTCTCTCCCTCCCTCTCTCATATATGCACACATACTTGACTCCTTTATCTGATTTGCTAGAGAGTTTTTTATGACATTGGTCATTTCCATTTATTTATTTATTTTTGAGACAGGATCTCACTCTGTCATCCAGGCTGGAGTGCAGTGGTACAATTATGGCTCACTGCAGCCTCAACTTCCCAGGCTCAAGCAATCCTCCCACCTCAGTCCTCCTGAGTAGCTGGTACTACAGGTACACACAACCATGCCTAATTTTTGTATTTTTTGTAGAGATAAGGTTTCACTGTGTTACCCAGGTTGGACTCAAACTCCTGGGCTAAAGTGATCCTCTCACCTTGGCCTCCCAATGTGCTGCAATTATAGGTATGAGCCATTGTGGCTAGCTACATTGATCATATCAAATGACCAGCTCTTTTTTCTTTAAGCGTCCTATTATATTTATTTGATTTAGCAAAGGTTTTATTTTTATTAATTACTTCCTGGTTTTAGTTTTTGTTTTGCTTAATTTTGTTTTTTTTTACTTCTAATGTTTTCGGTTGAAGACATAGCTCATTTTGGGATTGTATTTATTTTTAATTAAGACCAAAGCTGTTTAAAACAGTAAATTTCACTCTAAATAATGCTGTACTTCATAACTTCTGGTAAATTTGTATTGATTTCCCATTTGGATCCTGGGTTATTTAGGAAGAAGTTTCTTTTCTTTCCCTTTTTAAAAATAAGATTTATTTAGGTTTATTCCAATACCATAAAATTCACCCACTTAAAGTATGCAGCTCGATGGTTTTTAGTATATTAACAGAATTGTGCAGCCATCACCATAATCTAACTTTAGAACCTTTTCAACACCCCCAAAAGAAATGCTGTCCTCATTAGGAGACATTCACCATTCATGCCACCTCATACCCCCAGTCCTAGGCAACCACTCTTTTATTTCTGTCTCTGTGGATTTGCCTATTCTGGATATTTCACATGAATGGATACAAAATATGTGGTCTTTTGTGACTGGCTTCTTTCACTTAGAGTAGCATTTTCAAGGTTCATCCATGTTGTAGTAGGTATCAGTACTTCTTTTGTATTACCAAATGTTGTAATATTCCATTGGTGTGTGTGTGTATATATATATATATATATATATATATGCCAAATTTTGTTTATCCATTCATCAGTTGACATTAAACATTTGGATTGTTTCTCCTTTTTGGCTGCTATGAATAATGCTGCTGTGAATATTTGTGTGCAAGTTTTGGAATGGACATGGGTTTTTTTATTTCTCTTGCAGAGGTACCTATGAGAGATATTTCTGTGTTTTATGGTGACTCTATGGTTGATATTTTGAGAAACTGACAAATTGTTTTTCAGAATGAGTGCACCATTTTACAATCCAAACAGCAATGTATGAGAGCTCCAATTTCTTCATATCTCACCAACACTTGTTATTGTCTTTTCTTCTTCTTAGGCATTTTAGTGGATGTGAGATGGTCTCCTAATACATGAAAGATTATGGTTTTGATTTGCATTTTCCTAATGACTGATGTTGTTGAACATTTTATGTTAATGATCAGAGAATGTAAGCCTGTCAATTCCCAACATGAAAACATTTATCAGATTTTTTGGTAGCCAAGTTATTTGAAAGAATTTGTAAAAGTTCCATGACTATAAGAGAAGAAAGCATATTTTCTCTCTTGCTTTGATATAACATCCTTTTAGTGTTTTTAAAATTTAACTTGCTCATGCCTTTTATTTTACTCTTTATTTATTTTACTTTATTTTTTCCTCTTCATCTCATTCTTACTTCTTGTCTTAAGTTCCTCTTCTTTTTAAGTAGATATTTTCCCTTTCCTAACAAGAATGACTAAATCTACAGTGCCTCTAATAATTGATCAGAATGAAATTGTACCTCAACTTAGACACAGAGACACTCTCTCTTCTCTAGCTAGTTCCCTCAGTGGGGAAACAGTTTTACCTCTGGATATTTTTGAGTTAATTAAAAAACTTTAGTCCCAGGCTGTTACTATTTCCCCTGTAGCATGTCTCTTCTGTTTCAAGAAATTTTACTTAACTTTTTTATTCTGAATTTAGGGTCATATTTTCACTGTCTGTCAAACAGAACCACATTTATTTTGAGCCTACCATGGAAAAGGTATCATATGATACAGCTTTGACAACGTGAACTTTGGAGCCAGGTAGACTGCGTTTGACTTAACACCACTAAACCTCTAATTCTGTATGCATAAAATGGAATAATAATGATCATGACAACACATAGAAGAAAGGATTGTTGTGTAAATTACCTGTTTCTGCACATTACATGGTTCCTTATAACAACAATACTTGCTATCATGTACTAAGTATTTACCTGGGGCCAGTTCAGTGCTAAGTGTCATTGAAACATAATCTCATCTAATTTTCACCTCCACTTGAGATAAATATTTCAAATTCATTTTGAAAAATAAGCCTCAAGAAGCTTTTTCATGTTCTCCTAGCTAAGATTTGGCAGAGCTGGAATTTAAACCTTTATTAATTTTAGTCCAAATCTCATGGTCTTGCTCATATTCTAATTAATAACCAGAATATGTGTTTCCTGGACCTGATCTACCCCACAGTGCCCAGTGCAGTGAACTGTACTTTGGTTCCCCCAGGGAACCAAATGTTCTGTGTGGTGAGTGCTACCTGCCTCTGATCATATGGACACTGTTTTTCCAGGGTTCTTGGAGTCTCTGCAGAGTCCCTGGGCGAGATCTCATAGTGAAGGTTGCAGTATCTTCCTTCTGATCCCAGCAGTTCCCGTTGAGTCCACTGATCCCACTGGAATTCTAGAGTTGTCTGCAAGAAAGCCCGGGGGCTGAAGTCCAAGTCCGTCGGGAACATGCCAGCTGACGAGGACACTCCCCAGCCAGGGGGACATGGCAGTGCCTGTGAGGTGAGGAGGAGGAAGAGGTGCCCAGGGGTTGGAATTCATCCAGAGTCCTGTAGGAAAGATACGATCTCATAGTTTTCATTTGTAGTACTTTTTTACCAGGCAGGCATATTTCCTCACGTCCCCATTATTATTGGTCATTTATTTCCATTTTGTAAATTTCCTTCTCCTGTCCATTGCTGATTTATTTACCTTAGCTTGTGGATTTTAAAAGAGGTTCTTGAAAATATTCAGGTTAATAGCCCGTTATCATTCTTGCATATTTTTATGAATATCTGTTGCCCTTTCATAATTTGGAATTAGCTCTTAGTTTCATTTGCAAGTGGTAAAAGGTATCAAATAGTTCTCTCTCTCTTTTTTTTTTTAAATCTCTTCCATGCTTTGTTTTCCCCAGATTCCAGCCTCCCAGAAGCAAACACCCTTACTCTTTTTAATAGTTTTAAAGAATGTTTTGGGTTTTACCTATTGGCTTTCCACTATGGAAGACAGAGATTGAGCTTTCCTTTACACCCTCACTCACATACACATTTCCTAACCCACCTTGCTAAGATAGGTATATCATTGTTTCGGTGAGATTCATGGTCAGTGTTGATCATTGAATCCCATGGTATCCACGCTGTGATGACTATTTCTGCACAACTTTTTTCTTTTCCCTGGAATTAACAATTTTCTGTCGCAGTCATTTGTTTGTGTTACTATATACGTATCAATCATTCAACTCCAAATTCTTCCCTGGTGTTTAGATATCTTTTCTATATGTTCAAACACATTAGGTGATAATCACAGTGATAATAATTAAAAGCAGCCACACAACGTTTACTGCATGCCAAGCACTGTTACACGAACTCTACATGTGTCCACTCATCTTCACAACAACCTCATGAAGTAGGTGCCATTACTATTACTGTTGTTAGGCACAGGATCTCACTCTGTTGCCCAGACTGAAGTGCAGTGGCACCATCATAGCTCACTGCAGCCTCAAACTCCTGGGCTCAAGTGATCCTCCTATGTCAGCCTCCCAAGTAGCTGGGACTACAGGTCCAAGCCACTGTGCCTGGCTAGTAGGTGCCATTATTATTATTATTATTATTTGAGATGGAGTTTTCTTCTTGTCACCCAACTGGAGTGCAATGGCACGATCTCGGCTCACTGCAACCTCTACCTCCCAGGTTCAACCGATTTCCGACCTCAGCCTCCTCAGCAGCTAGGATTACAGGAATGTGCTACCATGCCTGGCTAATTTTTGTACATTTAGTAGAGATGGGGTTTCACCATGTTGGCCAGGCTACTCTCAAACTGCTGACCTCAGGTGATCCACCCATCTCTGCCTCCCAAAGTGCTGGGATTACAGGCGTGAGCCACCGCATCTGGCCTTAGGTGCCGTTATTATCACCATTTCATAGAAGGGAAAACTGGGGCTTAGAGAAAAACCGTTTGGCCCAGTTTTACACAGTAAATAGCCAGTAATAGGTGGGGCTGCTCTCATTTCTGGGCATCATTGTCTTCTCTTTGAAGAAATCTCTCCTGGAGCTTGACTTGCTAAAGTCTAGGCTGGTGGCTTCCTCAGTTTGACACAGAGCTGTTACTTTGGTGTCTTCCCTTCACCATCTCCCAGGAAATCCCCTTGACTTTTCTCTTGGGTCAGATCTCCTATTTCCTGGAGCTTGTGTCTTCCTCTTTCTTGGCATACCCCTTCATTTTGTGGGGAGCACATCCTCCAGGATATCCTTCAAAATGGATGCATGACAGATACATTTTATGAAACTTTGCATGTCTGAAAATGTCATGCAGAAATGTATTTACTGAATACATATAACTGTATAAATATATGTGTAGAAATGTAAACATGAATGCCATGGAAAATACCTATTTCATTCTGACACTAAATTTGTCTTTTTAGCTGAGAATAGAATTCTAGATTAGAAATCATTTTTATGCCCAATTTGGAAGCCTGTTTCCAAGTTCTTCCTAGGCCTTTTCTACTCACATGTACATTTTCTCTGCTTTTCAAAAACTCTTCTTATTTGGTTGTTGATGCTCCTTTGTAAAAATTATTTTCTTTACTGATTTCCATTCCTGTCTCTTTTGCTCTCTCTTCTAGTAGTACTTTTTAAAAAACTTTATCTTCTAAATCTTCTTTTATATCTCTCATTCATGCTGTTATTTTTTTTAAGTAGCTCTTTTTGTCTTCAGAATATTCCTGTGCTATTTTTGTTTTATGGATGCAGCATCATCATATCATTCTAAAGATATTAGTAGTAGTTTTTATTAAACTTAATTTTTTTGAATAAAGCATAGAAAAATGGCTCAAAAAATTAAAGACATATAAAAAGCTATACAGGTTGAGTACCTCTAATCCAAAAATCCAAAATCCGAAATGCTCCAAAATCTAAAGCTTTTTGAGCACTGACATGACATTCAAAGAAAATGCTCATTTGAATTTTGGATTTTCAGATTAGGGATGCCCAGCTTAAGAATAATGCAGATATTCTAAAATCTGAAAAAAAAAAAAAAATCCCAAACACTTCTAATCCCAAGCATTTCAGATAAGGGGTACTCAGGCTCTATGGTCTAAATTCTCTTACCCATCTTTCTCCTGTCTGCTCAGCTCTCTCTAATACACATAACCAGGTTAATTACTTTTTCTCTGTATGATTAGGATTTCTTTATGCAAATAACAGCAGCTGAGAACACGTTCTTATTTTCTCCTTTTTATGTCACAGAAGGTAGCCTACTAAAGAAATTTTTATCAATTTTTGTTGATTTAAAATATTTCAGTGAACTATAATACGAATTATAAGCAATGCTGCTGGGAACGTTCTTCATGTCTCCTCATGCACGTGTGTACATCCTCTCTTAAGTATATGTGGGGGGGTGAAGTTTTTTTTTTCGAGATGGATTTCTTGCTCTGTCACCAGGCTGGAGTGCAATGGCACAATCTTGGCTCACTACAACCTCTGCCTCCTGGGTTCAACTGATTCTCCTGCCTCAGCCTTCTGAGTAGCTGGGACTACAGGCGCCCGCCACCACGCCTGGCTAATTTTTATATTTTTAGTAGAGACAGGATTTCAGCATGTTGGCTAGGCTGGTCTCGAACTCCAGATCTTGTGATCCACCCACCTTGACTTCCCAAAGTGTTGGGATTACAGGTGTGAGCCATTGCACCCAGCCAAGGGAGGTGAAGTTAATGGGTCGTAGTTATGTCTTTTAAAAACTTTTTTATTGAGAAATGTAACATACATACAGGAAAGCATACAAAACAGACATGCATGGCTGAGTGAGTTATCCTTCCATAGGCCTAGAAAGAGTCCATAGTTAGCATTCCACAATCCCTCTATTCCCAGAGCTACTACCCTGACTTTTATGATAATCACTTCTTTAAGAAGAAAATCGCAGCCAGGCACGGTGGCTCACACCTGTAATCCCAGCACTTTGGGAGGCTGAGGCGGGTGGATCACCTGAGGTCAGTCAGGAGTTCGAGACCAGCCTGAACAACATGGTGAAACCCTGTCTCTACTAAAAATACAAAAATTAGCCAGGCATGGTGGCAGGCACCTGTAATCCCAGCTACTTGGGAGGCTAAGGCAGGAGAATTGCTTGAACCTGGGAGGCGGAGGTTGCAGTGAGCCTAGATCATGCCACTGCACTCCAGTCTGGGTGACAAGAGCAAGACTCCATCTCAAAAAAATAAAAAAAGAAAATTGCAATCCACAGAGTGGAAGAAGGTATACACAACAGAGAACTTATACCCAGAACATATAAAGAACAAGAAAAAGCAGAATATCCAGTAGTCAGAAGCCTTCTTGGACAGATACGTAACAGATCGAGATATTCAGATGGCTAATAGACACGTGAGACAGTGTGCAATCTCATTATTCGTCAGGGAAATGCAAATTTAAAGCACAGCGTAATACAACTACCCCTCACCACTGCCACCAGAATGGCTATGATTTAGAACACTGACAATGACAAGTGTTAGTGAGGAGGAGGAAGAGCACTGCTGATGAGAATGTAAATCAGTACAATCTCTGGAGGACATTTTAGCCTTATTCAGCCATACATATGTAGACCATATGAGGAAACAGTTCTCCTAGAAAAACACCCAGCAGAAATCCTTGGCTGATGTACCAGGACACATGTATAAATGCTCACTGTAGCATTACTTGTAACAGCCATAAACTGGAAATAATGCAAATGTCCCTCAATAATAGAGTGGGCCCTGGTGTGGCAGCTCATACTCGTAATCCCAACACTTTGAGAGGCTGAGGCAGGAAGATCGTTAGAGGCCAGGAGTTTGAGACCAGCCTGGGCAACATAGTGAGACCCCATCTCTACAAAAAAAATTAAAATTAAAAAAACAGAATGGATAAATACATTGAACATAATATTGAGTGAAAGATAGCAGACACCAAAGAATTTGTTGTGTTTATTTCAATTTATATGAAGTTTTAAGACAGGAAAAGCAAGAGCATATAGTATAGGGGGTACATTTGTAGGTGATAAAACTTGAAGGCAAAGCGAGGACGTGCTTACCATCTGAGGCAGAATAGTGACTTCCTTGACCAGGGGCATTGCAGGGAGGGAGCGAAAGAGGCATGAGAAAGGCTTCCAGCAAAGGAGGTGGCCATGTTCTGTTGGTAATTAGGTTGGTATTTGCTTTGAATGATTAGTTGAGTATTTGTTTCATATGTTTTTCTGCATGAATATTATATTTAATAATAATAATCTTTTGAAAAGAAAAAAATGTACCCTCCAATTCTGACCCGAGTAGCCCATATATTCTTTCCTAAGGCAGCTACAGATAGTCTGTCCATACAAACACGTGCACTCAGGCACAGGCACACACATGTGTGCACACACACACACACACACACACCCCAACACCCCTATATCCATTTTTAAACTGAAATATTAGCATACAAAATTTCTAGCACTTGCTTTTCTCCCTTAACAATAAAGCTTGGTGATTATTCAGTGTTACTACATGTAATGAGTTACCTCAT